GCTGATTGTTCATTTATCGTTTAATCTATCGCCAACAAGTCACAGACACCTACTGTATAAGAATCTTTAGCCCAACAACAACACAGTATATAGTTATACTATTAAGAAGTATATGTAAAAGCCTTTAATTGATCATTGGCGAACATGACATCTAACAAAATACATTTCGGAAAAACTGGTTCTTGGATATTTTAAGTACCGAAATCTCTATCATTAACTGAGTTTACTTAAGCAGGGTAACTCTTGTAAATTTAGCTTACTTACAACTTCTTTATTTCTGTCTTCTAGCAGTTTTTGAATTACTAATGTTAACCGTGCTATCTTTTTGTTGTTGTTGTTAGGTCACTTCGATGTCCCCGGATTCGTGTACATCAAAACCTTGTAGTAGCTCTCATTGTTCATGCTGTCATGTTGATCCTACTCTCTCTCCATGTTGTAGTGGGCGGTACATTTTGGTCAACATATCTGGAAGTAGTAAGTTTGTAGTATGCTGCCAATTTAATACAATATTAGTTTAGTCCCATCTCGTGACTTAAGTGATGTCGTTTTTACTGTATGCAACAACCGATCTGTCAATCGTGAACCGTATATGGTTGATACACTGGTGAAAACAGTTAAGGTTTGGTTTGTTTTGAATTTCGCGCAAAGCTACACGAGGGCTATCTGCGCTAGCCGTCCCTAATTTAGCAATGTAAGACTAGAGGGAAGGCAGTTAGTCATCACCACCCACCGCCATCTCTTGGGCTACTCTTTTACCATCGAATAGTGGGATTGACCGTCACATTATAACGCCCCCACGGCTGAAAGGGCGAGCATGTTTAGTAGGACGGGGATTCGAACCCGCGACCCTCAGATTGCGAGTCGAGCGCCCTAACCATCTGACCATACTGGGCCTAACAGTTAAGGAATGTTGTCAATAGCATTCTCGAATTCATTTTTATGCAAAACACGTATCAGATGAGCAGTCACGTATTACCGGAGTCCATTACCGTTAAAGCACATTTAGCACAACATACTTCTTAGCTCAATACATGGTCAGAAAATGTTTGTTAATAAAGCATATAACCTTAGACACCAATATGTCATACTTATAAATGAGTGAATCAATAAATTGCTACACTTCTTCCTCAAAGCCTTTTCCAGTTTATAAATATTGCTTGCAGGTGAATCACATAGTAACAAGTGTCCCGTGATCTTGATCGGGTTTTAGGTTTTTTGTAGACCTGAGAGGTTCAGGTAAACTTGATGTTTTCTTCCTCTTGAACGTGTTGATGTTGTTCCATGATAATATTAATGTAATTAATACTTCTTCCAGGAAGTTTCTAACTAGTTGAACATGGTGGGGGTGGCATATTGTCAGCCATTAAAATAGTTTTGACTAACTGCAACTAACAACACTAATGGTTTTAATATTACAGTTCTGTACCGCACGACATCCATATAGGTAAGTATGGCAACCAATAATGAACTATGCCCAGAACTGTATCCCACCATTACTATAGGCGTGTGTCTTTCCTTCGTGAAACTGGGGCTGGTTCTGGTCCCAACCACTTTCCAAATGAGTACACAGTGACGTCAGATACCAAACCACATGTTTTTACATAATTGAAGGACAGATTTGTTTGTTTTTTTGTGATGAGTTAGAGACACACACACTATAGGTCGACTGCCATAAAGGTCAACCTTATAAAGCCTATTTTATGCTGATTCGACATCCAGTTGTTACACTTAGCTATTCCTTCAGTAGCGAAGCGGAATCTTACCAGTTGTGGCATTTTATGGGGTTTTCAGCAACGGTCGATCCAGGTCTCTCGTCAACAGTACTGTCTGAAGCGAGTCCACTTCTGCTAACAATACTTTGTGATATTTGTAGCTATTTTGTAACGACTTGTTGTGGTTGACTAGCTTCTAGCCAACTTATCGCTCTCCACATTTGGATCTCTTAACCTACAATGCTGTTAAAACTGCTATCTAAGAATACTTGAAAATGTTAGGGGATGCGAAAGGGATGAGTGGAGGTAATTATAGAAAACTATATGGGTTCACTCTAGAAGAACTGAAACCAAGACCTCATCTAGACAACCTTAGGGAACAAGCTTCAAAATAGTATTACTAGAGCTATGGTTTGTGCCACTACTGAAAATAATTTTTCCGTTACAACTCTGGCTTGTCATATGTATAGGTGTAAACTACTTGCAGTGCAATTAATTTTAATAAAACCGACTTTATGGAAAAAATAAATTATTTTAATACAGTGTTCAGTAGAAAACAGCTTTCCCCAAGGTACTGTACTTTACATTAAAATTGGCAGTTTGTTCCACAACTGAAAATCCCTTATTTTAAGCCTTGTTACGTAACTTTTTATTGCTCGTTCTATAGGATCTGAGATCCAAGAAGTCAAATAGACAGTCTCATGGAAAGTTGTATTGTCTAGTCTGCAGAAGTCAAGACCAATACTTCATGTAGGCAGTCTTAGGGTAAACTATCCGATAAATGAATTCATCCAGCAACATTAAATGAATAAGGTGTAGAAATAGTCTGCATTTTGTATTTTCTCCAAAACAATTCGATATTTTGAAGAGTTTCACTAGTGAGCTAAATCGCGCAAATTTTCTTGTAAGTACATTTCTAATCATAAACATAAATCTTGTAGTAGTTGAAACTACCAATTTAAACCTTTCATAGCTACAAAAGAATGGAGTTACTGTTTAACAACGAATAGTGTGGTTGACTGTCACATTATAATGCCACCACGGCTGAAAAGGGCAAGCATGTTTGGAGACAGAATTCGAACCCATGGCCCTCATATTGCGAATCGAGTGACCTAACCACCAGGCCATAACAGGCCTTCTTCAGTATGAAGTATTGGAATGATCATTGATTAAAGTAATGCAAGATTAAGGCATACTGCATAGGGCTTTGACCTGGCTTAACAGTAAGGTATAGATAACATCCTTTTGGCCTTCATTGAGTCCCAGTAGTCAGAAAAACTACATTAGAATTCAGAAATCAGTCAATGTTAATGTAAAGTCCCAGCACCGTTTGTCTGTGTGTTATGAAGACAATTGTTCTTATTTTATTTAAGTGTTTAACTCTTTAACTTATTATCCGTGTTCATTTTATTTTCTTAGAAGCAAATAGTTTCGACTTTTTTGTTATTACGATATTTATCATGTACTTGATGGTTCCAGTTTTACTTGAGAATACCACACTAATTTGTTTGTTAACTTTATGTGGTTTTGAAAATTACATTGACCATTGTTATCCTACGTAAATTTTTACTCTTGCAACATCTGTATTTATTGGATGGTTTTCATTTTTAATATTCAAATACGTGTCTAAATATTACGAACAGATTTTATTTTTTTACTTTCCGTCTTAAAACATTTTATAGTACATATTCCCTTGAGGACAAATTTTATCGTGTGTTTTTATGGTAGAGTTGAGTTTATGGCATTGATGATAATCTCAATAATACAGTCGTTTGCATATTTGAGTACTGTATTGGTGCTTAGTATGTTTTTGACTCAACCCAGTTATTTGGAATAAATAGTTAATATGGTTATGGGCAACTTGGTAGTGGTAACCCTAGGATAATAGGTCACTGCCAAGCGGATATATATATAACTTTGGAAAATCCTTCTTTCCTGAGTCATTAATCTCAAACTTTGCCCATTTCATTATATATATATATATATATATATATACTTTTAAACAACTAAGTAAAAACAAATGGCGTCACAGATAATGGATAGACAAGTCAAATTATGGTACAAACCACAAAGAAGAATTGGTGAAATGTATCTGAGTAGAGAAGTATTTGTGAATGGTACATATTTCAGATATGTGAAAAAAAAACAGGAAAGCATTCATGTAAAAGTAAAACAGTACAGGAAAGACGTGAAAATCCACTCATCATCTCGGAGAAAAAAGTTCATCAGGAGTGGACTGCTTCTTTGTCATTGATGTCCAACAACAGATAACATCTGTACATCACTAAAAAATATAAAAAAGCACACCATACATTCCTTGAACGCTAACATAGAAGGTGAAAAATCGCGTGAATATATGTAATACATATTTCAAAAACATGGCTACAGCAGGAAAGCATCCATGCAAAAAGGAAACAGTACAACAAGAATATCAGAATCCACTCTACGTCTTGCAACAAAAATCAGACTCTTAGAAGTAGATTTCCTTCTTATCACTGACACTCGTTATTTTTCCCGACTATTTAAACGAGTGATGTTAAAGATGAGATAGTGAAACTGAAAACACTTGTATAGCTCTAAAACCACGTGTATATTACTTCAATTTTACTTCTTTGTGCGCCCCCCAGTGGTACAACGGTATGTCTGCAGACTTCCAACGCTAGAATCCGGGTTTCGATACCCGTGGTGGGCAGAGCACAGATAGCCCTTGTGTAGCTTTGTGCTTAATTACAAACAAACAAACAAAACTTCTTTGTGCTTATAAAGAGCTAGCAGAAGCGTGTCTTTTTCAGTGTGTTCTCTACATCTGTCGATCTTTCTGATCCTTCGTCATCCACCTTTACTCATCTTTCCATACAAACATGATTTATGTTCTGCATGTACCCATTTCTCGAACGGTTCAGGTTCATTTGTTCTGCCATCAGTTGATTCCAAAAGCTTGTCCTTACAGTATGTAACCAAGCTAACGATGAATGTCAGATGACGTAATATGCTACTGTCTACTACAGTATCAAATTAAACTTCCATACATCTCTTTAGCAATTTTTTTTCCAGATCACTAGCTTACAGTCACAGATTGCAGAACTATACTCACACACACATATATGTATCAATGTAGCAGTACAAAACCATATAGTACTCTGTGCAGGGAAAACAACAATATACTTTACAGTGCGTATCAGTATAATACACCTATAGAACGCATTTAATTTGGTCCTTCCGAAACGTTCCTCGCTCATCACGTTAATTAAACACATGAGAAGGGTTTCAGGAATTATTCACGATGTTTGGAATACTACACGTACTAGTTTAAAAGTTTTGAGATAGAATACGAGTTGTATTTAACAAGTTTATACTTTAATGCTTGTTGAATACAGAAATAATTACTACTAACAGTGCGGCTGGTAGCGTGGTGTATGGCTTCACAGAAGCCGGCTTATGATTTGTTTGTTTGTTTTTGAATTTCGCGCAAAGCTACACGGGGGCTATCTGCGCTAGCCATCCTTGATTTAGCAGTGTAAGACTAGAGGGAAGGCAGCTAGTCATCACCACCCACCGCCAACTCTTGGGCTACTCTTTTACCAACAAATAGTGGGATTGACGTTCACATAATAACGCCCCCACGGCTGAAAGGTGTTTGGTGTGACGGGGATTCGAACCCGCGACCCTCATATTGTGAGCCGAAGCGCCCTGACCACCTTCTATAAGTCTTATATAATGAGCAGAATATAGATAATGACACGCGTTATTCAGCAGTTACAAATTTAGTATTGATTACATTAGTGAACACTACCATATAAAATCTTTTTAGTTTATATTTTCTGAGCCTTGAAAACTAATTCACCAAACTACCACGGAAACGTAAATACGTATTAACTCTTTGAAATCCAATTTTATTTAAATTTAGGTAATCTACATTTGAAATGCAAGTCAACGCTACTACAAAAATTTGTAATTTCAATTGCAGAGAGTTATAATATCTTCAGAAACCATATCTTACAGACTATAGATTAATATCTGACCCCTCTATGTCACCTCCTGGGAACCCTAAGGGTACATGTCAGGCTTGGTGAAAACTGGTCCAGCGGTTTGTCAGTTGTAAGAGAACATATATACTTCTGTCAAATAATTGTTTAGATAGTGTGTATATTTTTCGAGTCTAGAAGGTAAATATTTTTTAACACAATAATTTTTTTTCTAATCATTTTGCACCTGTTCTCATGTTAGGAAATTATTCTAACTTTCTTTTTATCTTATTAAGAAAAAAACAAAGTAAGATGAAATGAAACTATGGTAAAAAATTTATTCACCAACAAATATTTTATTCTGTAATGTTCGTTATGTGATCGAATTAGATTGACGATCGACCACTTAAAACAAGAAAAATTAAACATAAGAGAAACTTCAATTACAATACGCTATTTTCTTTCTTTCTTTCTTTAGGGCTGGTTGTGCCGAACGGTCCTGACTATCAAGATGTATTCTGGATTAGCATGCATAAACTGGATGTTTAATGAAGGTCTTCTTCTTCACAGCAGAACAGCCACCTCTGTTTTTCGAAGAGATGCACCATTCAAACTATACTATTTCATCGGCTGGGGTAAATCTTATTCTGTAGTTTTTAGATGCACAGTCTCTTACTTCGTGTTCAATAATGTACAAACTTCATCAGTAACAGAGATGAACATTTTAAATACGGTTTTTGTATTGCTGTATACACAGCGTGATCACAAGTAAATAGACACCACCTTTTCAGAAAAAATTAAATTTTTCAGTCATGTTCACATGAATTGATATATCTATAATTTAATTAATATCTAGTAGATCTTCCTTTCGCTTCGTGGAGTTCGTTGATCCTTTGGGGCATCGTGAGAATCATCTCGTCAATTTCAGATTGTGGGATTTTCGCCCACTCTTGCTTCAAAACTTGGATTAGATCGCTCTTCGAAGTTTTTTTTTTGTTGTTGTTGTTTCTTGACTTGCCGGTCGAGTATGGCCCAGAGGTTTTCAATGGGGTTCATGTCAGGAGATTGGCTCGGCCAGGGCAACTTCTGCATACCATTTTCTTCCTGACACTTTTGGGTGTTTCTAGCAGTGTGACACGGTGCCCCATCTTCCTGGAACAACGTTGTGTTCTTGTCCACGAAACACGGGCAAGAGTCCTTCCTCCAATA